CCTGTATGATCTCAAAAATAAAAAAGCGCTGAGCAAGGATGTTTATTTTTCAAATAAACCTATTTTGCCTACACACTTTCTTGCTTGTGAGGCATCCAGCAAAGCAATACATCTCTCTGAAGCCGAGTATATTCTTAATTCATTTTGATTGTTAGTTTTGTTGTTCGATACCGTCTAGTTGACATAAGTGTAGCAAATAATTAAAAATTTTATATACGTAGTTTGTCTGCAAAACCATACATACGAGACACTGAAAACCGCGATACAATCGTGAAGAGAACATATTACCGTTACAATTACATTACTTGAGTGCCAATAATGTTGATACGTTTTTCGGTGGCATCTTTGTACACTAGCTTGCCTAATGAATGTGGTTCCTACACCTATTATTGAAATATAAAAGCATGAAATAAGTAAAAAAAACGGTGAGTGTACAAGAAGTCTCGAGCACATAGCTTCTTCCATCAACGGAGCCGTCTCATAAACTCAAATAGACTAATCACGGGCCAAACAAAAACATCCGATATCACTGTATTGCCGATGGGAGTTTTCAAAAGGAAGAGCTTTTATTTTGTTTTCGTGAAGTTCACTAACTTAGATAGCATCTAAAGACGTGCAGTAAAATGTTCATAACAGAGACTTAGCGATATAGTTATTGGGCGAACGTCTTACTATTGACGAAGCCTTTCTACGATTACGTTAAAAGGTTACTAGCGTATAGTTATACGAAATCGCTTCACTCTATAAATATCTGATAAGAGTGTACAACGGTACAAAATTGAGAAGACCGTGCATATACCCCAACCATGTATATTCATCTGCTTTAACGTAACAGCTGCTGTAGGCACAATTAACCGACCGGTGGTTTTAAGGGTATCGGAAGGTGTAAGGCCGTGAACGGCCTCCTGCTGTTACTTCATCTGCCGGACAACATCCGATCTAGGGATTGAATACTTAAATTATATCATGCCGTATATGAAAGTGAACAATTTCATGTAACCATATAATACAAACTTAATAATTATTGTCCAGAGTCCTGTAAATATTAATAGCAACTAGATAAACATACCTGCGCGACGATGTTATAAAGTTCTCCAAATACAAAATTCTACTCTACAGGAGTCTACACCCACATTGAAAACAATGAGAAAAGCAAACCATATCCTTTAGCGAAAATGGTAAGCCTTTGCCAAATTCATACGGTTTCCGGGCACATGCACCGTTGCTCACTCACGCGTCGCACTTTATTCAGGGTAAAAACACACACAAATCATCGGACTCGCTTAGTGACGTGTTTATACCAATAGCGATTTTGCGTCAACAAGCGCACAGCGATCTATCGATAGCTCGCTTACCCGCGGTCGGTGCAAATTTTCCATATTAGTTGTTCGCGGGTTCGGCCGTAAAATGGGTTAAATAATACGTTTGTTTACAAACAAAGAAGTGCTAAGCGCATAGCATGATCGTATGCGGCGGCCGCTGTCAATAGTAATGAGGACGTCACGTCTTAGTAAAACGTGTTACCTTACTAATTACTAGGCGCTATTTTCTATTTCATTTCGTCACATTATTTATTAAATTTCAAAGTATCAATGATACCGTATGAGTTAACAGAAATATTATAATGAATGCAATAGTACGGGGCAGTTATACCCGCTACATCTTAGGCTAGCAGACCACTTCGTCCGTTCGACTAAGGTTTACAGTGTGCTATCAACATGCATTGTAGAAGTTTACGTTGAAATATACAAAAGCGAAGGATGCGCCAAATTCTCAAAGCGGATACGATCAATGTTATAGTTGGTCTTTTCAATTTTCAAAAATAGATAATCTAACGAAAAAAGTAGAATAATACAACAAGATAAATTCATACGGTTGAGCCCGTTTAACCTATTTGCCTTTATAGTTAGGCAAGGCACGGAAAGGTGGGCGTGTTAAATAAACGCGAAAAAGAGTTGTACTCCGGTGCCACGTTGGAATGCAGTTCTAAATTGTAGCCTCATAGTTATATGTTAGCTAACTCTTGCATTTGTCCTCTCTGTGTTGCTTAGAAGTGGGCCTTAATTCAAACAGTTCCAACTGCTAGGTTCCATTTCGATGAGCGGGAATCTAACTTATAAATGGGTTACGCTTTTTAAAAATAAAGCAATGGTTTATTTATTAACAGCGATAGCGATTTTTTTAGTTCTCTTATTTTATTAACTGCTGCTATTCTTGTTTCCAGCCAACTACTGTCGAAAGAAAAGGTCTTCTATGGCAAGCGAATCGTAAGAGCAAAAAAGGTTTCCAGCCTTTTTACGTCAGGTTTTCGATGAACCGTGTCTCGAGAGAGCCTATTCCGTTGATCTGGCTCGTGCTACCACATACGCTAACCATCCGTTCTGTTCTCTCATCCTCTGGCCGGCCACCATTGCCCGCTTCCACAGGCGCCGTTACAGCAGTATTCGCATGCATTTGACGTTGGTGAAGGAGGCTGGAAGGTTGAATAATTGACGCTAGACGCATTGCATTGGTACTTGGCATTGTAGAGGTTTCTAGTGGACGCTTCTATAGTCGCTTCGTCTTGCGGCCATCGCTCTCGTGTGCCGCTAAGCATGCCCCGGTGGAATAGGACATCCACGCCCTGTGCGTGCCACTCACGAGAAAAGTGGAAGATTAACCTGTTGTCCGTTTATACAGTCATAGAGCCAAAACGCTGTGACGCTCTTCAGGTTACACACTGCCATGTCTAGTCACAGGGAACGTACGAGCACTAACAGTAGCTATACGTTTATAGCTGATATGCGGCTGATTCGAGCTCGTCAGAAAAATTTGGCAAACCATGGGTAATCACTAGCCGCAGCAGAAGCGGCGTTTGCCAGTAACGTGAGCGGTAGGCAGCAGTGAATTGTCTAAAAGCAATTTGCTCCACTTACTTGCAATTTGTGGTAGTTATGTCAAGAGTATTATGTTAACATTATAGCAAACGGCACTCTCTCATGATATATCACTATTACATTAACTTCAGCTACTTCACGCCTAATGGCTAAAATTAACCGGGAAAATCTGCGTTGTTGTCTACAACAGCGTGCCATCTAATGGCTTGCGTTCTCTGTCCAATTTACCTTCAAGGTGAACTCTACTAATGAGATGAACCGCTCCGATAGACCCTTGTAGCTGTCTTTTGTATAGAATTTCACGTTCATGCATCAACAGTATAACAGCATTAACATCTCCTTCCGAAAAGGCCCTGTACCGCTATGAAAGAGATATGAAAAATGGTTCATTAACTAGGGGGCAAAAGTATATGTCGGCTAAAGTTCACAAGTATTTTTTTCTAAGATTTCCTTTACCGCTTCTATATATTCAACTCTACACTTTCCGGTTTTACTTCTATAATATGTAAAAAAATTCTCGGAACGTGTTGATTCTTACAAACGAAGCTGCATGTATATTCTTTGTTAGCTAGGGATTCTTGTGGGGAAATAATTGTTGTCTAAATGTATAAACCTTTTATAATAATTTGTAGCTACAATTACTCAAGCGTAACAAAGTTACAGAGCTGAGGCCGCGTGCGACTCTAATTTATGAGAAGGACTCGACATTCAAACTGAGAAAATTGCCTAGAACGAAGAAACCTGGAAGACGACTATTTGCGAAAAAGACTTCTTGTGCCTTCCATCTTAATCCGATTAAGCTGATCCTACCGTAACCTACCTAGAGTACACCGAACCTCCAAACACTGGCTCGCCAAACCTATGTGAAGATTTAGCACACATTTTTATCTGTATAGGAAAATATGCATTTAAAATTAATATCTATGAAATTAGCACAAGTTCCAAACTTTTTGGCTAAGATGCTTCGGTTCTGGCAGAAACATTTGCTACAGTGGTATTTTGCACATGGATGGACAAGTAGGGTCTCGTTATAATAAAAGGGCCTTCGAACATTGGGCCTTGCTAAAATCACACCGCCAATATCAATATTTTTAATTACTATGGGTGATCCCGATCTATTTAAGTGTCGCCATTTAAACCACATTAGTTCGCCGTAGAACAAATTGATTACTCGATGGCTATACTTAAAGAATGAACTTTGTCTGATGGGTCGCATTGTCTCGGCAAGCAAAGGCGAAGTGCCCAGACTTTGACTGTCCCGAACAGGAAGGACCGTGAGCGACGGTCCCGTCACACGTTTCATTAAATTCGTTGATGGATAAATAAAACATACAGTAGCGTATTTTAAATGTGGGTAGTCGTTTTTTATTTTATTTCTAAAAAGGTGCCACGGCATAGGGATATTTTTCAGAGGGATCTTTTTTTTATATAGCTTACGAATAGTGGCATCAACTTTTATATTTTCATATTATTATATAGAAGCTGAACTAAACGTTCCGGCGAGATTTAACCATATGCGTAACTGAAGAGTTTAAAGCATGTATATCTTGTTGTATATTAGGTTTATCAATAACATTCAGTGTTTTTTTTTTGAAACTAACTAAAAATTGTTACCTGTAGCGGGCTTGAACCTTTTCAAAAAACCGATTTTGTTTGCTTTCGTCCTGTACGAGGTATTCAATTGATAACAATCGAAGAATTGACGAAGAGCAGGCGTGTTTGATCTCATCATGTATTTACAAAAATTTTATATATATATATATATATATATACATATATATATATATATATATAAACCTTTGTAAACCGCCAGAGCTCCAGATTCTAGTTACGGTTTTGCCTAAACTTGATGAGCTTGTGTTAAGGAGCAAAAAGGCTAGCCATAATCGGGGTGGCAATAGATTGTACAAATATGACTAGCAGCTGTATTTTTTCAATGAGCCATAATGGGTTTATAGACCCACGATGAGTATATATGATAACTGTAAATAGAATACATTCATTATAATAAAGCAGTGTAATTTTTGTTTTAAGCGACGATTAATTTATGTTCTAGCGTTGAGTTAAGGGAATAGTACTGCAAAGTATTTTCAATCGTGATATCGTATTTGTACGTGTATTAACCTGAAACGTATCGGGATGCGTCCTCTCCAACTCCTGGCAGATGAGCCTCAGTTTGGTGCTGACATCGTTCGTCGGATATCCTGAGCACATGTTCGAGACCGATTTCAGCCGTTGCAGTCCTAGTTTTTTGTGCATTGGCCCGCATGAGCGTAATTTCGCTCGCAGGTAACGACCACAGAGCGCTTTGGCCTGTTCCGTCATTTCTGCCGTTGTGACTGGTGCCGCTTTCCAACCTATACTCGTTGATAATCTGCAACAACAACCCCACAATGCGCCCGAGATACATACAGCGTAATGTCAGTGCTAATGTTACAACAGTCATTTATTTTGGCTATTGAGACGTAGTTGTCAGGATTTGACGTCGTTCATCGATTAGAGCATTTTGGACCATTTGCGGGTAGAATTAGTTTGCATATTGCTACAATGTTTTAGACGTAATGAATCTGATTTTGTTATATTGTTGCACCGAGTTGGACCGCGTTGATTATTGCGCTAAGAGCTTGAATGAGATACTTTTCGAATACGTAAAATATACGCGCTTGCATTCGTTCCTGACGAAACCCAGACTGTCAAACAAAAGCCATTTAGATCATTGTAAAAACGAGAGCGCTATCTGTTTAATAACATTTGCACTTCTTGTAGTCTCCAAAACGGCGTTTTGATTCTATGCAAGCAGATATACAGTTTGGCTAACAGCTTAACCCAGAGTGTCAACAAATACTAGTTAAGATATTTCTACTGTTCGATAGACAAATTATGAATGTTGAAAATGGGCACTTTCGCTTGAAACCTGAAAAGCCAAGTACGCATAGGAATATCCTACGGCAATGTACAAGAGCTCTTGAGATCTATACGATCCTGGACATCGGTTCTATCGCCTAATAGGAACAATGAAATGCTCCCCGAAAGCGTGATCAGTACATTTCTTCATAAAGATGATGAAGTAGCACAACTAATAGAAAATAGTAATTACCTAAGAACGAGCAGCTGGACGACCAAAACTGTTTGAGTCGACCCATTTAGGGGGCAAAAAAATGTCCAGTAATATTACCTTAACCTGGTGGCTCATCCGCGAAGGTACAGCCATTGTCGAATCCAACGAAAAACTATTAGGATTGTTTTGGCACTCTCTTACTTTGACGCATGTATATAGAAGCTGACATAAGGCATGGTAGCGAATGTTTACTGGCTTTATACAAAAATAGCTTGTCGTAGCTTCGCCAGCCAGTATGAAAAAAAGTGAGCTTTAAATGGTGCTTTAGCCCAGTATTGTAACTTAAACAATGGTGAGGGTTTCGTAAAATAATATATCCAAAGTCCGAAACGTAACCAAAAACGTTATCGATATATAAAATATAAGCATTAATATATTGGGTTGAAAGGAAAGTTTTCACGCCTTATTCCGCGAATGAAGGACACACACCTCCTACAGTAAGTTGTTCATTACGTTTTCCCATCTTGCTATTAAATGATAAACGCTGTCTCATCAGAAAACACCTGGTGCCTTCTCAAAAACATTTTCCAACAGCGTTTTAAGTTGTTGACTCATATTGACGTTAAGGCCACGAACGTGATTGTTCAGTGGACGACGTGAGTGAAAATCAATTGGTATAAGGTCCGGAGAAGATGCAGGATGCAACGAAACCTTTTATTCAGGAGGGCAGCCTGAATGATGTTCGTCGTATCTAGCCTCGCGTTGTAGTAAGCTAACCTGACGGCGTTGTTCGGGTGGTTTGTTTTGAATAACCCACTTGACTTGATGCAATTAGGCCAAAGAGACGTGCTGACCAAATCTGGCCCGTGGAAAAAAATTCTTAGTGATATAGGTTCCGGTCCAAGCAGACACAAAGCATAATCTTTCCGAATGAAACTCTGGTTAAACTCTAGGCCCTGCCTTCTCTTCTGAAGCCATTCAATCCAATTTATGTCGATGGACAGACATCGCTTCTTATCATCGGTGACAATTCTGCGTAAAAATGGATTATTGCGTTGTGCTGCATGACGCACGATGTCAAGCGCAGTGTTAAGAGGTAGCGTTCAGCTGTAATTCCTGTTGGATTCGAAGAGTGCATAAAGCACACTAGTTCTAAATTTCTGTGCAAGCCCAAAGTATCTGAGCTGGGTAACGACGACCGAGCGGCTGCAGCCCATCGTCCCGGTCAATTTTCAGGTTGTTTACTGGCCGCCTTTTTTCAAAGGGGCCTTTAAGTGGTCGTTGTCAGACGGTCCGTTCTGGCACGGACACCGTTTTTCAACTTCGCAGTTTGTTCAGGAAGAGCACCACTAGATATATTCAAAATGAGCATCCTTAACTGTTTCGGACCCGTGGTGGCCTATATATGGTACAGAAGACGTTGGGAATGTATTTTTCTTCTGTTTTAGAACATCAATTCTTGAAAAGATCTCTGTCGAAATTGCGCCTGTAGTACAATACTGTCGTAACCGGCTAATAGAGTACTTCCAAACATCATTCCAGAATTAAACAACAAAACAAGGAAAATATCGTGGGTATTTTATTCCAGCCTAATACATAAAACTAAATGCATTAAATGTCTGGTGAAGAAGCGAGACACAAGCCAGTTCGCCTGGCAGGTTGTTGTGCTAATGCTTTTCATCACTGACAGAGTGCGTCACGACAGCTTTCAGATTTCGATTTAGGAAGAAAGCTGGCTCAGTTGTGCCTTTCTTTTCTTCGAAAAATGGTGACAATTAATCAAAAGTGGGTCTCGATTCGTCGACGAGACAGTATGCTATTTTCATGTGCGACAACTAGTAATTGTTGAACCATTAATTAGAGTTCTATTAAAATAAACAGGAGAGTGTAGTAATGGAATTTAATAAACTGTAAATAATTTAAGTAGCTAAATTTAATAATAAACTTGGGCGATAAATTTTTGAGGTAGTGACAAAGCCACTAAATGAAGCATTTTTACGATTAAACTATAGGCGTCAATATTTATGGTCTCAATAAAATGAAGAGCTGGTGAAGGAAAAGCGATTTGATCGCTACCATTTTGGGAAACATGTGATTGTGTAAAAAAACGCAGAGACAGCTGAAAAAATTAAAAGGCGGAGATTGGAATCTATACGATAAAGATAGAGCAATGAAGCAAACTAATTCAGCACATATCGATGTTGCTGTACGTGCCTATTTGAATGTAGAAGTTAAGGTTCATTCGATGAGCCTAGGAGAAGGCCATTCCTTAACCACTGCTGTCGCATGACTTGGCAACTTTCGTTACGTTCACGATAGCAGCGTTATCGATTGTAGAAAGCGGTACATATATCAATCTATCAAATTTTTTTTCGTTACTGATAGGCGGGCGTTATAAAAAGGTGCTACATTTATTATAGTATTAAGCTGTACGTTACATAAGAAATTGTCTGCCTATCAAATCTGATCATGATATGCAACTGTGTCTAAATGTCTTAGGCTTTACCATCTGCGGCTGACTCTTGTTTCAGCATTTCCTCAGCCCTATTGACATTTTTGGTAATATCAAATGATAGAGTACGACTTTTATGTACATAGACTAAGCGTCCGGCCGCCACAGAGAGCTTCCTAGGAAATTTTGTTTTTAAAGTCACACGTAGTAAATCGTCCTTTATTGAAACAACTGCCGTACTGCAACTAATTACTGTAGAAGAAGTCATTGAAATGGGTATGAAAGAGACATATGTTTTGTTTACTCTATCGAGACAATACTTCTATCACAATCACACATTCTTTTAAATTAATTTGTTTTTTTCCCTATACGAACTTCTATGTTTCGAGCTGTACGTTCGGCATCGTCGTCAGGCATTCCCTCAAACGGCTGGCTCCCAGAGCAAAACAAAGTGTGTTTACACCCGGATTCTGACCTAGACCACAATGCGTTTCTACGATTAACATGCAAATTCGTTATCCACTATGCTATCACTCTATATAAGCAAGTTCTCAGAATCGCCTTTCTTTGGGTATAGCAGTGATCTTACTGGTATTATGTGGGTTTTTTTTTACATATACAGACATATAAAACGGTATGGCAACCATAAAAGCAATTAAAAAATTTAAAAATAATTTTTTCCCACTACATTTTTTTCTAAATATTATTTTTCGTAATAATGTTCGCAAACGCTAAGCTTGAATCAGCATGACAGCGCGCTGGTCAGTTATGGTTAACATGCAAGCGCACTTGAAAAGATGTATATTAGCCACCTAAACAATGCCGCCCCTTAAGTATACAGGTATGTTTTCCTAATATAGGCCAAGTGACTTTTTCCATAAATTTCAACTTTTAGCGGTCAAATGACTATAGGGGTCTCATTATCTGATTGGGAAAACCGTTCGTTCGTTGAGTTTTATCGCCTACCCAAGAATGATCACTATGAACTTCTGAGAGGTCTGTAGTTTTGGCAATTATGTCAAAGAAAGGTTAGAGAAAATTCAGGAACAAGAATGACGTGTGATTGCAAATTCTGCAACAGTAGCTCCAAGATGGCGTGCAACTAGAAAAATGTTATTTCTACCTTGTTTCTTATTGCAGCTGGGGATTTAGAGCGTGTCTTCTCCAATCTACGGCAGATAATTCCTTATTTACTAATGATCAGTAGCAATGCTGAATCAGTACATGACGAAGATGCAAATCTTCGTAGATTGCACATTTTTCTTAATCGTGCATCGATAAAGCAGTTTCTAAATTGTGCGGCGAACAGTGATATTTTGCGCTTGATGTCGATAATAATTTTGGCCAGGTATTGCACCTATCTGTTAAAATGGACAGTCTCAAATAGAATAAACAATGTATATTTAATAAAAAGTATGTGTAACGCGCAGCATTAACTTCATTAAATATGAACGGAGTCGCTTCCGTCAGTCGCCTAGAGCTTTTACGTGTCGATATCGATAATGAATAGCTGAACAGCCTTTAGAATGATACGCTGAAAGATACCTGTTCACGCCATCAAAATAATTTTCTAACTGCGTGTCATGATCAAAACACTGACACGTACGCTCTACGAAATGGCGTCGACGTCATTGCGTCTAGGCACCGTATTTTTTTTTATCAAGCCAGCCTAAGTCGTTTTATATTCATAGTTCTTAAATTGTTTTACGGTTTGTATAGTTTCGCAAACTTGGGAAACACATAGAAAACATACAGCTGCTGACGCATAACATGCACTGCAAGCATTGTAAACACATTGCTATCTAGAAACGATGCTGAAATGAGCATTTTGATTTCTACTCCAAAAATCTTTTGAGCCTTTTGC